AATTAGGAAAAGTGAAAAATATGTCCCTAAGAGAGTCCCGAGATCAGATGCAATATTTGAATTCATCCTGCATTAGGGAAACTATCATGTAGTGCTGCACAAATTTTAATTCCTCTTGTTATTGTAAATGTATTCTAAAAAGAAAAGTATGTGTAAATATAGGATACTATTACCTTTCTTTAATCTTCTGTCTTATATGGAGAAAAGGAACCCACCCTAATTAGTAATTATGGGAAATGTAGTGCTATTTAGATGCTCTGTCTATCTTATAGTTGTTTGTAAGGCGCTTTTTGATTGGTGGGGCAGAACTATTGGGATAACTAGTATATGTAATTTTCTAATTAGCAACAACATCCCCTCCAAAAGTTTATGTTTTTTACTTGAATATGCTGTGGTCTAAGACTTACCACTTGACATAGAATACTAATGGGAGACAATAGTATATCAGTCTTATAAGGAGCATGTATTCTTCTCTGCATACTTGGAGTACATAAAAAACACATAGTTAGCTCTGGGAAGAATTGAGATGTAGGGTCATTATCATAGTAAAGTGTGTACATATTCTGTTTACTTAAAACAAAACATATATTTATACAAAATGGCATAGCAATATTATAAAAGTTCAACAGTGAAATTTTCTTTTAACTCCCACATAAATGAAATAGTTCACCAAAATAAGTCTGATAAGTTTTACAGTGTAGATAAAAAAATTATCTAATGTATTCAGTGAGTACAGATTGGAGACTCTTCATATCAGTTTATATAATAGGTTTTTTTTTCAGATTAAAATCTAGAATCCATCTGCTGCTCTTTTCAATACCTACCAATCACCACTAATTGAATGGCAGCAATAATAAACACAGTGAGTGAGTGGCGTATGACGCTTCTTGTCCTGTAGTAAAGAGATAGAATCAAGCCAGGTGGCAGTGGCACTTGACTTTAATCCCAGCACCCAGGAGGCAGCAGGGGTATCTCTGTGAGTTCTAGGTCAAGCAGGTATACAGAGCTAGCTCCAGGAAACAGTGCTGTTCATGGAAAAGAAAAAGATTTAGAATCAACTCTTCATTAGATTTTAAATCAACTTAAAGATGATGAAAATTTAGCATCAGACAAGGAGATTCGTTCAAAGATTTAGACAGGAAGTTAAATGTGTCTTAAATGCCTTAGGGTGTTAATGCAGCAGAATGAGAACAACAAAGCAGATAATATCCTTCTGATGTCAGCGTCTATGGGAGGTGGAAGTCATTAAGAATTGGCAGTAAAGCTATATTGTAGTAATCCGAATTTCATATCTTATGGTAAATAGACTTCCATTTCTTGTCTTGAAAGGAAGATATAGAAACTAACAATAAGACAATTTGTGTATCAAGATTTATGAATAGTTGCTTCCATTTATTTCATAGAAAATGTTTTTGTGGGAAGGAAATGATCATTTTGATTTATAATAATGTAATGACCTTAAGATTCTGGAATAGTATATCTTATTTTAATCATTGATACCAGGGCTTTCCTTTTAAAATACTACCTCCTGGGGTTGGAGAGATGGCTCAGCTGTTAAGAGCACTGGCTGCTCTTACAGAGGTCTTGAGTTCAATTCCCAGCCACCACATGGTGACTCACAACCACCTGTAATGAGATCTGGTGCCCTCTTTTGGCCTGCAGGCAGATACTATATAAACAAAACAAACAAACAAACAAACAAGCAAATGTTACTTCCTGCCCAAGATGTTTGCCTGAGAAGGCCATCTTCCAAGGATGCTACCCACTGCATTTTCCTCACACACCTTGTCTGTTCCACAACATCCCTAGTCACCCCTTAATAACAGGAAAAGCTGTCAGAATACGCGCTGCTCAGTGGAACATCTTCGTTCAGGAGTGCTGTGGTACCTTTGAGTATTTATAAATGATGGCATGTTAACAGGTTAAAAGATTATGAAGACAAAATCCCCAGCAATAATGAATTCATCATTGAACTAAATCCTATAAGAACCTATATGGCACTTGAATTAATCCTGTAAGATTTCCATAATGCACTTGTAAAGTACCTCTTTATTAAGAAGAATTAATGTGTATACATGAAATTCATCTTAGATGAACACTACAGTAGTGCTTTGGCTTTGATTAGTTAATAAGAGGTAACTAGGTTCCTTGTATCAGTTAAAAGTATGTTCCTTCATCTGCAATGTAGTAACTCCATTCTGTTATCAACTCCATTCTGAATAACATGATTTAATGCAATACTCATGTTTTCTTTCTTCTTTGTGTGTTTTCTTACTCATTGCATTTCCTCACTAATTAAGAATCTACTATCAGTATCATCAAGAATGTTTCATTTAGTTCCTAAGGGTTATTTGGGTTTACTTAGTTTTCACTAACTTTGTGACATATGCTGGGAATACTGGGAATATACTGAAAGTAAACACCAGCATTGGACACATGACCCGCTGGGGAGGCAGGAGGTTGGTCAAAGAAGCTATGTGCCAAGCACTCACTGCTTTGGTTTGTGGCCATTTATTTTTATGATAGACGCGAAAGATACTGGTGGAGCTGTTAATTTTTCATGTGTTTTCATGAGCATGTTTGTCTTAAGAGCTATATTAGATATCAAACTAATCTAATTACACAAGCAGAGTCCGGTTGTGTTCTTTGTTAACATGCTTTTGATTTGTTTTCTTAATGAGAATTGAGCATAATTTTTCATGTGTCTAGTGACAAATTTATGAGCACTTACTCTGGAAAATACACAGCTTTTTTTCTTGCAAGTTTCTTTAATAACACACTCGAGGATGTAAACTTAGAAAACAGTAATATTTTTCTCACAATCCCCAATGTCACAAACCCAAAGATCCTTTGAAAGGTTGAGAGAATGTTTTCTGTTTTCTAGAAGAAGTGTTGTTATTGTATAGAATAGAGGGACACTGTGTTTCACATGATAGAGGAACAGAGGAAAGAACTCACAAAAAAGAGCTTTTTGCAGTGTGCCATAAATCCACTCAAGACAAAAAAATATCTATAAACTACTGAGTAGTACCGAACTCTTTTTTTTTTTTTTTTGTTTTCAGGATGATAGTACTGAACTCTTAACAATAATGTAGTTTTGATTAAATTACCAACCCACAATGTGGAAGGGATTGAAAATTTCAAAGTGCAACACTAGAAGATATTTCTGTGTTAACGCACTCCAATAGACAATATTTCCTCCAAAAGTCATTGAAACTGCTTCACATGAATCCAATGAGAAGGTGAATTGAGTAGATCTGGTATATCTGGGGCATCTTGGAGAGAATTTGTATGTGCTTGAGTGTTCTAGAATCATGGCATGCTCAACACAAAGATAGGCCTACTGAGCTCTTTTTGGTCTTTCTCTGACTTTCAGGGCTTTCGTGTAGGGCTTCAGATCTCTGCTAGACTTCTAAAAGTAATTTCCAACTGGACCTTTCATGTTTGCCAAATTCTTTAGGGAAAACAGTTACACCCATTTGAGGTCTTTTCATCTTCAGGTTGAATACCAACCCTGACAACTTCCAAGAGTTCTCTGAGTTGCTCTGTCTACAATGTGTAATCAGGAGTGCTTAGAGGCTCCTACAAGAAGCAAGTGGAGGTAGAACAAATTGGTCCTTGCTGTTTGTCAGCTGTGGCCCCTCATTCTTCCTTTCTCTGTTTCTATGGCTCCTGTTACTATTGTCACCTTTATAAACCTGCCATAATTTCTCCCTCATCAGAGTACAGTGTACTCAATTGGTTTACTGTAACTTAAAGTACCCATGGGCAGACTATGCTAGAAGACTAGTTCCCAGGAGCTAAGAAGACACCTAAAAATGCTGAGAGATGACTGCAATAATAGTACTGTCTCAGTTCATCTCTCATAAGTTTACTTGAAAACATGGATGACTACATAAAAATGTCATGCGGGTATATCCAAACAGCAACATTGAAGTTTGCAGGAAGATATTTAGGTGTTGGTTCAAGTCCAGGATCTCTGGGAATCTATTCTGTTTAAGCGAGAAGTAACACAACAACATAACAGGTTTGCAGTTAGAGTGAGACATGATCCTCCATAGTATTCGAACACATGGTGCTCAGCTAGCGGTGCCCTTTAGCATGTTATAGAACCTTTGAGAAGCAGTATCTCATTAGAGTTGGATCAGGGAGTTTAAAGACTTGCCCACCTTCAAGTTCTCTCAATCTGCTCTTGTGTGGATCAAAATGTGATCATCCAGCTTCTAGCTACTGCTTCCGTTGCTTCCTTGTCTTTCCTCTGTACCCATGATGAGCCCTCTAGATATGCAATCTAAAATAAAATCTCTTCTTTATACTTCTGTTGATATTTTGTCACAGGAACAGAAAAGTAACCAAAGTAGTAGGGGTTAAGTAAATCGAAACCCTGAAGTTCACTGCATATACCAGAGAGCATTTTCTATTAAAATACTCAGAAAAAAAAAAAACTATCAATGTTTTTAAAAAAGAAAAAAATCTTAAACAAGGAAAACAACAATAGACATGGAAATGCAGGCAGAGGAAATACAGGAGTCCTCAATGCTCCATAAAGAAGCACAAGTACCAAAAAAAAAAAAAAGTGCTTGAGAACAGAAAACTCATCTTCTTCAGGGGAAGACCACACTAATTGGTTTTTTCACACTAGATGGACAGCCCAAAAAACA